CACCTCCCCTTGAATATGATGAGTCAGTGCATCCATCACCAGGGCAAATAGGAATGGGCTGAGCGCAGACCCTTGGTGCAACCCCGTAGTAACTGGAAAGTGTTCAGAGTCGCCTCCTACTGTCCTAACCCGAGTCTTAGCTCCAGCATACATGTCTAAGACTCGGTTTAGGACAGTAGTGGAATTTTTGGAGTTTTGGACCGGTAGTGGAATTTTTGATAACGGGGTCAGATTCCGATTCCGTAAGTTGGAGCAGGTCCGTAGTGTTGATTATGACTTGTGTGCAAAATTTGGGGTCAATCGGATGTGGATTGGTTGGTTTCGGCATCGGTTGTAGAATTTTGAAGTTTCAAGTTTTTAAAGTTTGGATTGGAGGATGATTCATGATTTTAGCGTTGTTTGATGTGATTTGAAGGCTCGACTAAGTTCTTATGGTGTTTTAGGATTGGTTAGTATGTTTAGTTGAGGTCCCGGGGGCCTCGGGTTTGTTTCGGATGCTCAACGGGTCATTTTTGGACTTAGAAGCATAGGAGATTTTTGCTGGTTTTTGTTGTAGAGATTTGTTCTTCGAGTTCGCGAAGAGAAGCCCGCGTTCGCGAAGAAGATTTTGGGCAGAAGAAGAAAATGCTCTTCGCGTTCGCGAAGGTTTGGACTTCAGTGTATCACTAACGCGTGAATGGCATCGCGTTCGCATAGAGAAAATGGAACAGCCGGGACCTCAGGAATTTTCTCTTCGCGTTCGCGAAGGTCCTAGCAGCTCAAACTACGCGTTCGCGAGAGGGAACTCGCGTTCGCGGAAGAGGAAAAAATTAAGTTGTGGACTTTTGTTCTACGAGAACGCGAGGTGGTGGTCGCGTTCGCGAAGAAGGGCGTACCTGGGCAGATTTAAAGTTCAAAAAAAAACAAGGGTTTGAACACAAAATTTGATTGAGAGCTCGGTAGAAGGCGAAATTTGGAGAGATTTTTGGAGGAAATTATTGGGTAATCATTCCTAACTCCTTTATGATTATATCTCATTAATCTATGCTTGATTTCATCATTTAATTTCGGATTTGGGGTGAAAAATTGGGAAAATTTGAGAAAAGTTCTTAGGCCGAATTTTGGGGTTTTGATCGAGATTTTGGTATCGGATTGGAGTGAAATTGGTATGGTTAGACTCGTGAGTGAATCGATGTTCATAATTTGTGTCTTTTACCCTATTCCGAGACGTGGGCCCGGGGAGGCTTCTTGGGCATTTTCTATTTTTTTGCCTTAGCTTTGATTTCATTAGCTAGATTAGTTGCTTGTAGTTATATTTACGTTATGTAATTGATTTGGCTAGATTTGGGTCATCCGGAGCCGGATATTCCGGGAAAGAGCATCGATTCGGATTGATTTGAGTTTGATTCGAGGTAAGTGGCTTGCCTAACCTTGTGGGGGGGAATTCCCCTTAGGATTTTGGTACTGTTTGATATATGAGCGCCGTGTACGTGAGGTGACGAGTACGTACACGGGCTATTTATTGTAAAACTCCGTTTATCACTAAGTCTTGACCTGCTTTTCCTTGTTTGAACTACACTAGCATATGTAATTACCTTGTTTAGATTAGAAAAGCATGCCTACGTGTTTTAACTGTCTATTTGAACTTTGTGCAGCATGTTTAGTGAAATTACCTGTTTTACTTTGATGTGAACTCAGTCTAAACTGCAGATTTACTTGCTATAACTATTGTTTGTATTGGTTGAGCTGCATACTTACTCTGGGACTACGGAACGGTATTCTAGGAGATCCCCTGTACTGCATATTTACTTTAGGGCTACAAAACGTTATTTCGGGAGATCCCCCAGCAGCGCATATTTACTTTGGGACTACGGAATGATATTTCGGGAGATCCCCCTGCACATTTAAGTTTGGGACTACGGGACGGTATCCCGGGAGATCCCCAATTTCTATTACTGTGTTTTGACCTGTTTGTTTTCATTGAGTTCTATTCCTGTTAGATTTCCGTATCTATTTTATTGTAAAAATATTTCTTTCTGCCTTATTTCATTATAATTATACTAGTAGGTCCCTGGCCTGATCTCGTCATTACTCGACCGAGGTTAGGCTTGACACTTACTGGGTACCGTTGTGGTGTACTCATGCCCTTTCCTGCACATATTTTTCGTGTGCAGATCCAGGCTCATCGTACCAGCCTCATCACTAGTTGGAGTCGTCGCTGCTTATTGGAGACTTCAAGGTACATCTGCCCGCACACGCAGATCCTCGTAGTCCCACTGTATCCCCCTATGTTCATTTTTCCTTCTGTAGAAATGATGTATAGAACAATTAAGACTTCTTAGTAGCTTGTGACTTGCGGGATTCCGGGCTTTGGGAATTGTTTTCGTACATTTCAGAAGTGATTATTGTATATGTCGTGTGGCATTCAGTTGCTTATTAGATAATTGTTACGGTTAGTAGTTAATGTTCATGTTTTGTTCATTTCCGCAAAGTTTTAGGCTTACCTAGTCGTAGAGACTAGGTGCCGTTACGACGGTTCACGGAGGGAGAAAATGGGTCGTGACAAAAATAGTAAACAAATAAAACAGATACTTTTTCTTAAC